TATTAATACTTATTCAACAGAACACTATGTTAGGAGGAACTCAAATGCACAGCTTCTGTAGGGTAAAAGGTGGATTTTATGTGTGATCCCATCAGTTAGGTCATTTTTTTTTCATCTAACATTTGCCTGACATTAGCTTTTCTAGGAAAAAGGGGTAAGAATATACCACACTCTTCTTATTTATGGCAGAAGATTTCACATCCATGATCCATACCAGCCTGACATCTACAACTTTTATAGTCTGCAAGCAGAATTTAAATTGAAAGGCCTTTGAGATCGTCTAAAGGCCCTGTCACACTATAATTTTCTAGACAACTTATGCTGACTTGTGAAAATTTTGTTATGACTATTTTACTCACACGCAATATATTATATTATACATTTGATCTAATTGTTAGTATTTCAGTATGTATAGGTCAAAAACAGGCTTAGCAGATTTTTTTTAAAATTCCATCTTCAGAATGGACATATTTCTTGTTGGACAAATCTTTTATAAGTTGGCTAAAATGTTACAGTGTGACAAGGTCTTCATACCAGAGGTCATAAAAGCAGACCAATACAAATAATGAAGCCCTGAGTTTGTGTGACATTATGCATTTTTGATTTTGTCACTTTGACTATTGTTTGTTTAATGTTTTAAGAAACGGGCAGAAAAAAAGGTTATATTTATGAGACAGTGATTTTTAACTTTAAAAAGATGCTGTAACCATTCACAAGTGTTCTTACTAAGTATCAACAATCATGGCATGTAGAAGAAAGTTTAAAATCAATACAAACCAAACCGATTAAATTGTGTGCCAGTATACTTATGAAAACAGAAAAGACTTGTGATTGGAGCAAATGCTTACTTTTATTTAACTAAATCGCCTGTTTCTTTTTGTTTCATTAACTAGATTTTAGTGACTTCGTGTGTATTAGTTTATAAGTTATTAGTATATAGCGCAGCTTTCTGATGCCTGTATTCAACTGGACCAAGAGTGTCAAAAAACAATCAAGCATATTAAGAAGCTAACACTTAATCTTGTGTTAAAACCGCCTTAAAGCCTTTGAAATACTGGTATTTAAAATTAMGAAATGCATTAATGAATAGGGGTCGCTGTGGCCTGTGTGAACAAAAACATGGGAAGCCATGTGCTCCAGAGACAAAGCAACAACAAAAGATTTGGTAGGAGAACTGGACCGCTCGGTATCATGCGGTTTTGCGGGGCAAAGGCAACATTTGGCTACTTTTATACAAGGGTCAGGCAAAACCTAGCATGCATCAACAATTTAAAGTAAATAAACAATAAGCTTGCGTCTAAAGAAAACCAATGCAAATGTCCCCTGTTCTGTTGAAGGAAAGCTGCTAACTTGAGCTAAATATGCTAATGCTTTGTCCAACACGACCAGCATGCTAATTAAAGTGTAAAACATACATGCATTTATCATTGCATATCATTTATTTCTCTACGGTGGATATAAAATAACAATGAAAGGGTGAAACCGTAAGGCAGGAAGCAACACAGCGCATCTTACTTTCTTTGCTAGTTTTTGCTTCCTCGGAAAGACTGCAGGTGTTTTAACCTTCCAAAATGTCGCCAAGTTTATTCCTTGTAGATTATATAACCGTCTCTAATCGAACAGAATCTTCCGAAAGGAGATTTTAAAAATATATAACAGTGTCCACTTGAGCACCGCGTCGTCCCGACTGGTTTTAAACAATTATATCCTCCGACGAAGCTGGGTTGTTGTATTAGCTTGCTAACGTTAGCCAGCCACCGCACGCTCTCGACTGCAGCATAGGGTGTTATGTGGTATCCGCAAAACAAGGAGCTTGCTTTGACGACAGCGTCCACCTGAGCAGAAAATACAGCTAAACGTGCGACGAACGAAACCGTACAGTTCCAACGGCGAAAAAACATTCCTTGGCGCGTGTATGTTTCTTCAAATGCATTGTTATGGCGAAGCCACGCCCCCTTGCGTGACGGACCAATCAGCGCTCAGCAAACACAGACAGTAGACGACCAGACAGTTGGCTTCCAATGTATCAAAACAACAAACAAAAAGCTCACTGACAAGACTGTAAGACTGTCATAAAAGTCAAGTTTATTAGTCAATACTTCTTCAGAAACTGCAGATCACTGTATATCTATATTAACTATATTATTATATAGTAAGAATTTTAGGAGGATATCTTAATTTTAAAACATTCTGCCTAATTTGTGAGAATATGTAGCAATTTACTTCCAATTTCAAGAAATAAAATACAGTTTTATCGGTATTGCCACCTATTTGTTGCTCACTTTTCACAACATTTTCACCTGTATCCCTAGTAGGGTTGGGCAATATTGGCAAAAAAATGAATCACGATTAATTGTGATATTTAGCCGATAGCGATTAATTTGACGATTAATCCCCCGGAATCCCTGGACACCCTTATGTCCTAGTCACATGACCAATTTATAGGGAGCAAATTGGCTCTTCGTAAAAATCTGTTCCAAATTGTGTCAAAATTACAGACTTCAGGCTATACATCAAACTTTAAATTGTGTTGATAGATAAATAAATTACACAATTTTTTTAAACGTTGGTCATATTTGAATCAGAGAGGAACACCAAGCGGTTAGTCTGCCAGGTGGCATTAATCGTATTAATTGTCAACTGCCAAAAATTAATCGATTAATGTTTTTCTGACGATTAATTGCACAYGATACGATTATGCCCAACCCTAATCCCTAGGCATTAATTAAAGTGCAAAATTTAGAGGCTACTTCATAGCAAGCAGTGAAGTTTAGATACTTTGTTTACTGCTTTTTAATTTACCATAAAGCCTAGAATAGCCCAAATTTCTATACTTAAGAACATTTTTTTTACTGAAAATCATAGTCTAATATTTCATTCTATGAGCACCACCTTAAAGACATTCATGAAATCAAATAAAAAATGATCCAGTTATGTAAAATGGTGCAGTTTTAAAGTGTTTAGATCAGTTTGTTTACTTTTGGTTGTTCCCTTCTTTAGGGATCTCCACGGACTTGGCAAGATTTAGCGGTGGATAACCTTTTTGACACAGTCAGGCCTTGAATTTGCAAATCATATTAATACAAGACAGCATCACTGACTGAGCTAATGCAGCCCCGAAGACCTCCAGTAGTTATTCTTAGATATATTGATGTGTAATTCTGAAATGCAGGTATGCACTCAATGTAAACAAAGCTGAATTTGTTTAACTGGATACTTTAATCAACCAAGCCAAGTGTAAATACATGCAAACACATAGGGATTGTCTAAATTCTTGATTCCAAATGTTTCTTGTTGCTACGGTGGGYCTATTTTCAGTCACTCTGGCTGTTTAATTCAACAAACACACAAAGGTTGCTAACAAAGTTTTGGATTGGAGGACACATTATCCATCAATATGAGACAGAACTTATGAGTAGCCTTATTTTTAACTTGACACGTAATTTCCACACTAGAGTGTTATTTTATTTTATGACAATCTATATAAAAAAAACTCAGCAGTTGTTGTCATTGACAAATAAAATAGCCATCCTATGATTTATTGTGGTGATTTTATTTTTGCAGAACACACACTCTGGAGGTCCGATGAGTCTTTGGAGGCCACAGTGTCCTATTATACCCAGTTGGTTATGTAATATTGCACTTGCCCTGCTGTCCTCATACAGTCTCCATCAGGAGGAAAACTTGCGCCTGTAGTTTTGTAGTTCAGATGCAAAACGTGATGATCTTTAAAGACAAAGTGGGCTTATAATGTACGAAGCCAAGTTTATCATGTGAGAGTTACTTTAATATCTTGTAATTATTATTATTATTATTATTATTATTATTATTATTATTATTATTATTATTGGACGCGCGTAACTGCAGAATAAGGACGCACATCTGGTGCTGTGAATGCCCCAAACCAAAAAAACCAGCGCGCGGAGCTTGTAGCATTTGAACGCAACATCGCGTTGAAGGTAAACATTACAGCATCATCGCTCCCGGTAGCAGCAAAACAAGGAGGGGCTGCAGGACGGCAGCACCAACAAGCCGCTCAAAGCAAAGCGCCTCCCGTGCAAAACGCTGCGCAACGTTTTAGTCCGAATGCGTCCGAGACGCACAAGCGACTAAAATGAAGAGGAGAGCGCAGAGTTTACCTGATTGTTAATGTGCAGTCATCTGATCGGCTGAGACTTCTCTTCTAAATGTTCACATCTCGTCAGGCTAAGTGCGGCATCTTCTGGTCAGCTGTTCCCGTGTGGAACATTCCGTGGGTTTCACCACTGACTGTGGAGCAGTGGGGGGGTTAGAAAAAAAGCTGCTAGGCCTAATTTTCAGCGTGTCGTTTTATCGGAGCATTTGCTCTTGTGTTGTGCGGAATTACGGCTTCCAAACTCCTCAGACCGTGTCATGTAAAGCCGCGTTTTCTGACCTGGAAGCTGCAATCCAGCCCCGCGGATGTTTTGGTTTTCTTCACTTCCCCTCACCTTTTTTCCCCCCCACTCCCCCCCATTTCGACGTATTTACAAGGGCATAAAGCGCACGTCGAGCAGCCATTTTTACCGTAATGAACGGAATAAAAGCGTCAGTCTGACTCGAAAAGTTCTGAAAAGAAGGAACAAGCAGGCGTGCGCGACAACCTCCTCATCACCACAACCAGTGGAAAACACAGACCCTGTTTAGTTAGACAAAGCATTGGTTTTGCACACACAGTTTTTATAAGAAGCAGGAAATTAATCATTTCTCACCACTATCCTACAACTGACAGGCTAGATTGCTTTAAAACCCACAAAAACTTGGGTAAAAAAACAAACAAAACAAAACAAAAAAAAAAGTCATTGTCATTGGTGAAATAATCATCAACAATGGACAGCTCAGAAAGAAAGAAACCCGGGAAGAAACCTTACTGATGTTCTGTAAAAACTACAGGTGATGCATGATATGTAGGCCTATGGGAATTAAGTTTATGAGCCACATAAAGATTATTATTATTATTATTGTTGTTGTTGTTGTTGTTGTTGTTGTTGTTGTTGTTGTTGTTCTAACCTTTATTTAACCAGGAAGTCCCAAAAACCTCTGAGAGATACCTGGCCAAGATTGGCAGCAGTAGCAGCAAATGCAACACACAATTTCACATCTTATTAAGACAAAATTTAAAAACATCAAATAGAAAAACATTAAAACATTTAAATGAAAACAAATTAAAAACAACAGGTGCAAGTTATGGAGGCAGTATCAAGACCTTTGATGATGAGATGAGAAGATGAGATGCTTGTGGAAGCTAGAGACAGGAGGTGATCGTTTATGAGCAACATGGTTTTATACCAAGGTTATTTATTCGTGAGGGATCTGGTGGATGGAACTTCCTTTTGTCTCAGGGTGCTGAGGGAGGAGCTGCGTTGTATGAAGAAATCTGGAGTGGCAGAGAACTTAGACAGCAGGACAATGAGACGTGCAGCAGTGGCAGCTTCCTTCAAGGTGGAGGTGGGACTTCATCAAGGATCGGCTTTGAGCATCTTGTTCTCTGAATGCGAGCCGTCACACATGGAGCAGCTCTGGTGATGGACAGACTAACAGAGGAGGCCAGGCAAGAATCCCTCTATGATGTCTGCAGATGATATTGATGGATAAGACTGAGAATAAGATAATCCTGAAGAGGGAACATCTGAGAGATGGTTTATCTCACATATCAGTGGTTCACACATATTTTTCAATTTATAAGCTGAAATAAATTAATTCTCTTTACCAACCCCACTTTTCTTAGTCACTGATGGCTATTAAGCAGTAACATAAAGAACAGTAAAAAAGGTGCCACCAGGGGGAGGAGGGGAAAAGTAAATTGGTGCCTCCTGATAAACAAACAAACAAACAAGTAAATAAATAAACAAATAAATAAAGTGACCAACCCTTCTTAGGTCAGATCCTCCAGCATTGGTCGTAGAAGGAGCAGGATCCACGTTCAGATCGATCATGCATGCTTGTGCTGCCTCAGTGTAGCTTAAAGTTTATTTTCAAACAAAGGCAAGAAGGACAAACACTTACCTGTGCCTGGGTGTTTTTATGTAACTTTTTGAGGCAAACCAAATCAAGATGGCCGTCACACCAAACACAAAAATGCCTCTAACTCAGTCAGTTTCACAAGTGTTGAGCTAATATAGTAACTGAGAGTCATTAACAGCCTTTATTTTGACTGCTAACACAATGTATAACCCTTTGTGATACTGCATAGTATCACACATTAAGTTATTTATTAGAATTCAATCAAGATGGCTAGAACTTCATAATGTCTCAAAAGAAGATCTAAATCTCCTGCAGAGCAGCAACAGGTGAGATAAATTCCTTCATCTGACCTGATTGAGATTCAATCAAAGCTGATGATTTTTTTGGTTTTATTGTGTGTTTCTATATTTTCTTTTACCTTTCRTTTTCTTAAGTCCTTGAATGAACTGTAAAGCACTTTGGTAAACTTTTGTTGTTTTCAATCTAATCAATATTAGCAATAAAGGAAGGTTTATAAGTATGTAAAACCACACATATATTGACATTTTGGTTTTGTTATCGTTCTCATGACCACAAATGTGTGTTTTACTTATCATCTGGTTTATTATCCTGCATATGTGGAACTTTTACATCACAGCCCTGATATCAGATGGACTCCCAAATGACATTCGTTCCTTTTTTATTGTTGTTATGTTTCTGTTTACTGGAATTGCGTAGGAAAACTTTTATTATATTCCCACCCATTTATATATTTCTGCTCCTGGCTCAGTGTCAGGTTTGATATAGCAAGTYGTAAACCAAAGTCTAACTGGATACGAGATGAGGAACTAACTTTTAGGATGCCTCTGTCATCCATATCTACCTGTACATTGAGAAATTTGACATCTGACTAATTTATTTCTAAATGTGCTAGCACATTCACCTCAACTCTGAACACRTTGTTTTTCTTGTCTCAGTAAAATCTGTGCTTTTATCTGGAGGCAAGAGTGTTCTTATGAATGGAGCCTGTTTACAACACAACACAAYTCATTGTCCCTTAATTAGAAGAAAAACAACCGAAAGAAGGGCTCATTATGCAACAGGTTTGAGGGATCTGAACATGACATCGACCCACTGATTGGTTCTGATGAGACACATTTTCAAAAGGCCCCAATAGAGGGTGTCTGCTGTTATGGCCATGTCAACAGAGGCACCCATTCACACACACACACACACACACACACACACACACACACACACACACACAC